GGCAGTCCCAGTTATGTCCCCTTCCCCCTTCAGCTGTGCAGAAGTAAGGGATTGGTATCGGCAAAAGGTAGCTGAAATTCTGTAATCAATAAATTTAATATGAAGTTTGATTCCTGCATAGTAAACAAATCTGGATATTAATTCACTGTGAAGATCTTGGCTACTAAGTAGTTTTGAAAGTAGTCAGGGAGGCTGATATTTGTCAAGTAGTTGTTGAATGTTATGCATTCAGTAAGCAGCTACTTTATGGAGGAAGTTTTAAATTACATTTTATGATAACAAGTTGTTAAAGGTTTATGGAAACAGCATGGCTAATTTTATGTGCATTATTTGGAGAGCATCATCACAGAAACAATGAACAAATAGAATTTCCTTTTTGAAGGGAAATGGTTGCCACAGCAGAGATAAGAGGGTACAATTATAATGGCAAGCAATTGAGATAATTTGAAGAGAATGTAGTCAAAGTTAAATATTTCTGAAGTTTCTATATTTTACATATGTGAACTGTGGAAGTACTTCCTGAGCTTGCCTCTTCTCCATAATTAGAAGTTATGTTCCTTCTGGTTGATAAGCAATTAGTTATTAGTACAGTGCTAAGTTTGCCCTTGTACCAAATGACCCAAAGGGGAAAAGCTGTCTGTTTGATTACAATAGTAATAGCTTTTAACAATTGGATTTACTTAGCCAGATGTTAATTGATCCACTTACAACCTTCTGCAAAAAGAGTTTGTGAATGTTACACAAGACTGCAGGGAGCTGCAGGCAAAAATTAAGACATTTGGTGAATTAAGGGTTATGAACTGCCAAGTTCGGTTGAAGGAAAACTACATTTCAAAAAAGGTCTCAGTCAGTGCTGAACATTAAAAAGAATTACACAAAGTTTAATTGTGGATAGTGGTGTGAAACATCTCTTTATTGTGTAGTTTCAGTTTTCATATGAGAAGGAAAAAAGTTTGAAAAAATTAAGATCTGTTATAAATGAGAAGTTGGAGTTAATTCTTTATTTTCCATTGCTGTCTTGTTTTCCTTGGGGAAGAAGAGGGGAGAGGTATCTGGGGGGTGTGCATGGTTGTGAAATCAGTAATATGAACCTTGAAGGAGAGAAGTTTCTGTAAGCAATCTTTTAAAAAAATAAATTACTGATGCACTGAAATTTGGCAACTGTGATATCCCCAACCTTGTGTAAAGTGATAAATAATGTTTTAATTAGACAGCTATTTCCAATTTCACCTAAGCAGAGTGTATTTTTAACCCAAGATACAGAGGTCTCTGATCCTTTTCCCTCTCCCACAACCTTTCTATCTTATTTAACTGTAACCAGTTTTGACCTGTTGCACTTCAAGTACAAGAAACCATAATCACTATTAGCTGCTGGTCTGTATATTGCTCAGGGGCAACATCCATTTAGCAGTGGAGACATAGCTAGATGGCAAACACACTCCCATGAGACAAAAAGAGCTTCTGCATCTGTCTGGTTGACTAGGCCCAAGTATAATTCCCAGAGTCCTCCTCAGGCATGAGTATTACATATTGCCAAGAAAAAATCACAAGGGACCTTAAAGTAAACCATTGCATTACATATGTCTGTAATTCTAAGTAGTATGAGCCACAGCTATTGCAATAGTAACACAAGAGTTTACACAGAGAGGGAGTATTTTTCACCTGTTTATCACAGAGGGATGCTTAAGTCTTCATGGATAATATTTTCTGTGTGCTTTCTGATGTAAAATAAAAACCAAAACTTTACAAAATTGAATTAGATGTCCATTACAGCACATCTGGTGCCACACTCACTATATATCTAGTACAGTGGAAATACCATAGTTCAGAAACTTTATCATCCCTGTTGTGCTAACTTTATAGTTTACTGTTTCTGTTACTATTTCTGAACCTCTATTTCTTCATGTTAGATAAGGCTGCTAGCTTTTCTAAATAGGCTTAATAATAGTGCATATTTTAAAACTGTCTCTGGTTAGTAGAGGATGGTGGCATTTGGTCCCATTGACGTGTCTAAAATTTCTGTCAGTCTCAGAGCTGGCTTCACAAAGAAGGCAAAAGCAATGCTATGCACAGGAGTTGCAGTAGAGCAGGGAAAGATATGTGCCCACTTTAGAATACCTCAGACTCTGCCATAGCAACTTCCCCAATTATTAAGTCCCTGAAAATGGCTAATAACAGTTGTTCCAGGAGCCACTTGTAATACTGTGTCATGTGCTAAAGGTCTGACCTAACCAGGCACCCTCTACCCTTGTGTCTTTTTGAACTTGATGTGAAGTGGTGGTGCTAATTATATATCTAGTGTGTTGATAGACTGAAAATATGACAATTTGGTTTGCAAATGACTATTACTATAACTAGTGATTAAATCAGCTTTTGAAACAGGTCAATGCTTTGTTACACACAGTCGTCTGCATGAGAACATGAGGACTATGATGGGTCATAAAAAAAATCTGCAAATGATACAGTCTAAAGCAATGTTAGTCGCATCTTTTGTGTGTGGTGTGTGTACAATTATACACGGTTTCTAGCAGTGATCTTACTATTATTTTCTCCAGAATAAGAAAAAAATGAATGTGAAGTGAAGTACTGCTCCATTGGAGGTGACGGTAAAATTCTTATTGGCTTTGGTGAAATCAGGATTTAAGTGTAAGCCACATACTACAGCTCTCATACTCTACAACTACAATTCAGCATTTGAAAGCAAGACCATGTGAAGGCCCCTTGCTAAGGCTATGGAAAGGTGAGTTCCATTGTAAGTAAAAAATTAGTTTACAAGGTCTTAAACTCCAGTATCTTGTTTTATACCAAACAGTCCTATTTTGATGTAGTCAAGAATTATGGTATGCACACATTTATAATGTTTAGTATCTTTAATTGGCATTTCTAAAAATAGTTTTATGTGCAGTTATTTCCTTAAAATGATTTGTTAAAAATATTTTATTCTAAATATACAGTTCTAATGTGATTTTCATTTCTGTGTTTGCTCTCGTCACATGATGTTCATTACTAGTTTTTTGGAGATTTGGTGGTAAGTCTGTTCTTCACTTTTGCATCAGCAGTAGGCTCACTGTACCTTCTTAAAGACCTGCTTACACTTGACTCCACACACTCTTATTTCCTAGGAAGAGAAAATAATTAAAAAATACAATGCATTATACATTCATGTGTATGTTCAGCTTAATTTGAATCCACAATTTTCTATCAAATCAGATTGAGTAGCTTGTACATATTTTAGCCTATTTTTAATCCTAAAAGAAATCAGCTGGTTTGGGTTTGTTTCCTGGTGAAAGGTGGAGTAAGAGAAGTTATTTTGGGATCTCAGATCTTAGACAGCCAAATATGTTCCTGGTGCATTATTGTCTATTTGCAGTGTGTGCAACTGCTTAGGTCTTTGAAATGGACATTCACTATTTTGGACACATAAAGAAGTTATTTGGGGAGGTATTTGAATAACCAGTTCTGAATCTGTATGTTGATGACTGGTAGTTCAAACCTACAAAACCAGAAATCAGGTCAAAGCCCACTCTAGCAACACAATGATCATGGCTAGAAAACGACAGGTAGCTGTGTGCAGAAGATTTGATCTAGGTCTATAAATTGCAGCACAGCAGTGACTTTTGACTGAACTTGACCATACTGGATTCCTAATGCTGCCTAGTGTTTCCTTGTGTTTCAGAAGAGCTTTTAAAAAATCCCTCCTTGCTAGTCATAGGATCAGTGTGAACTGAAATCTCATTTATTAAGCAGGTGCAATGATGTTTATATCTTGGGCACTAATTTGTAAGGCCTACTGTTGTTTACCTAATCTCACTGAAGATGCGGTTTAATCTTCTCCATTACTGGAACTGTTTAAGTTAGACCTGAGAAGTGCACCAGGATGTGTGGGGATGTCTGGAGGTATTGACTGGTTTTAGTGGAAGAAGAAAAAGGCGTGGAACTTCTTAAGGAACATAAAGACAAAGGTTATGTATGACCTAGCAGAAGGATATACTTTCTATTTCAAGATAAAACTTTTAATAAAGCTGTCAGAATATTTTGAGGAAGCAGGAGGCAGAGTTTCCTGGGAAGTTATGCACATTTTCTTATGGAGGACTTTGATAAAATGACATATTAAAAAAACATTGCACTCAGTCAATAACCTTATTGGCAAGTGTTGCTAGTCCCTAGTGAGAGAAAATGCTTCAGGATGAACTGATGAAACAAGTAGACTGAGACAGTGATTTTAGTTAGGACCTGTTTTGTTCACTTCTATATAGGTAACCTGGAAGAAGGAGTGTGCAATAAGGGCTGAGAGATCTGCTGACAGTGACAAAAACCTACAGAGCAGAAGCAATCAATACAATAGAAAAGGGTAATAAAACTCAAAAGGAAATGGAGAATGGTCAAATAAGTCACTCACATAAAGTAGAATCTAAGGAGGAAAAAGAACTACAAAGTACAGACCATAGAATGAAATGGAGAAAACAGAAGGCAATAAACTACTAAAGGATGTGGTACTACTCTCTACAGAACTGTGGAAAGAATTAAATTAACACTTGGCTCATTGTGTAAAGTTCAATAGGATCATAAAGCTATCAAAGTATCAATTTTTTAGAGGTAACTACCCATTGTATCAAAGGACTCTCAAGAGTACAGGACCTAGTAATCTTAGCTGGTCAAAAAGATACTAAACAGGACTCTTTTATTGTATGTTTAATGGAGAGAGTTACATTAACAAGGATTCAGATAAATAAAGAGGACATATTTTGAAGTTCATGAAATATAAAAAAGTGATAAAATTGAAATATTGGGGACTGACCTCTAAAACACTTGGTTACTCCCTTTGCAAGAAGTAGTTTTGTACTGACTGTTGTGTACATGTGAGACAGATTGTGATAAATTGTAGAGGTGCCAATGAGCATATGGATGCCTGCATGAGCTGGCAAGTATGATACACAACTCTTCACAGCCTTCTGAAAAAGCAGCCTCAGATCAGTCAGGTTACCTTGGGGTACCTAAATTGGCACTAGACACATATGTTTGAGCAATTGAATCTGAATATATGACTTCTAAAATCAAACTTTTGACAGGGTCAATTATAGAAAGTGGTCTGGCTTGGAGGTCCATGGCTAGGTTGTGTGGCTAGAGCGTGAATCAGAGTACGGATAGCAGAAATCAGGGCTAAAGAAATTTCTGTTGGTGACAGAAAATGGGAAGAGACAATGATTGCTGAGCTGGCAAGGGACAGAAACCAGAGAAATTCTCTGTCAATACAGAGAAATTCAGGAGAAACTAGTGCTACTGCTTCATATATGTGTAGATGAATGCACATATGTATATGACTGAGTGCAGCAAGGTGTAAGCTGAACTTCTAGGCCAGACATTGTATGGTGAATTGCAACCTGTTTGCCAGCAGAGAATCTGAAAGGGCTGATGCTTGGTGTCATGGCACCAACTGTTGAGAAGCTGGGAGGTAGTGTGAAAATACTGTAGTGTCTTTGTGTATAACTAGAGGGGATATGCATACACAGGAAATTTTTGAGTCTCCTTTTTATTGCTCCCCCCCTACCTTCAGTGAGCCCATGACCTCAGCTATAAAGTGATCACTTCCACAGTAACTTTCTCCCTACCTGCATTATATCAAATATGTTGTCCACATGGTAAAATCTGTCATAAACGTTCCTTTCCTGAGCTGGTTTCTGAGACTTCCAGTACTTCCTGAAAACTATGTTTAGTAATAAGGGGTCTGGGGTACTTTTGCAAAGATTTCATAACTGCTCTGATTTGAATATTGAGAGAACATCCATTTAGACTACTGAATGCAAATCGTATTAAACAGCAAACAGAAATGGAAGTTGGATTTTATTATCTCAGCTGGAAGACTGCCTTTCACCCACACTGATGAGAGAGTGTGGATGCTATAAAGTTATGTGAGAAAAGAGGCATCTTCTTTCAGGTCCTGTTAACTTAGAAAGAAAAATATTATGATCTGGAAGAACATGACATTTCAAAAACTTAATTGCTGTTTTAGTTCTCTAGGCTATAATGCAGTCTGGCCTGTAATTATTTTAAAATAACAATGGTGTATTTTCCCCTTATGGCTTGTGGTTGGATGCATAATTTCACCAGCTCCCATACTGTGTATTTCACAGAGTGTATGAAGGACATTCTGCTAAATGTCTTCCTCAATGTAAACATTTCAAACTGGTATGTCTGGACAGACAGTTAACACTGAAATTGTTCTGCTTTGAAATCAGGCAGTCTTCATAAGGGACATAAAAGCATAATGGCTCCAAATGAAATTGTTGCTTTAGAAACAAGTCAAACGGTGCATCAGTACATAATAATGTCAAAGTAAGCCAAGATAACAGAGCACAGCGCCTGCTGCATTACATCTAACCATTTTAACAGAGTGGTATTTAAAACCTGTTACATCATCTCACCAGGTGCATTTCATCTCCTTCAATCCACTGAGTCCAACCACGACCTTCTTTTTCTCCATTCTGTACACAAATAAGCTTATCTCCGTCCCAAGATACGGTGGTCTAATAAAATAGACATGCTTAATGTTACCGTAGTATTCTTTGATATTATGATTAGCTTCCTTAAAGCAAAACTTCTCTCTACTATAATAAATGATTAATGTATCTCATAAGGAGAATAAATCTAGAGTGTTGTAACACTTAGGATAATTACAAAAGAAATGAGCTTAAATAACAAGTTGCTGCCCAACTGCCTGTCAAAACCTGGAAGGATGAGATAAAGCTGTTTAAATTCAAGAAAAATGATCATAAAAATCATTGTGTAAGAGCTCACTCCTCTCTCCCTGATGACAAATAACAGCAGCAGAAGGGATGTGCAGCCTAACAATGTGTTTGCAAAAGGAGCTGAAAACTTGAGATGCAGTTTGTTTTTTCCACTGTAAGAAGGATTCCCCACCTGCTCTACCTGAAAAAAGTACCCACCTACTGGCAGCTAATGGATGAACAAGGCTTTTAAACAAAGCTGAGCTGTTTTTTTCCCCAATGTCTTTATCTGCCTTCCGTCATAGAGCAGAGTGGTTTGGAAGTATCAGCAAATGGGTAACTTTGTCAGCATCCTGCTTTCTGTAACTACCTGGAGAACTCCTGGAGCCAGGACTGGGCCCCATCCCTGGAAACATTCAAGGTCAGCCTGGATGGAGCTCTGAACACCTGATCTAGATGAAGATGTCCCTGCTCACTGCAGGGGGGTTGGACTAGATGGCCTTTAAAGATCCTTCCAAACCAAACCATTCTATGATTCTATAAATAGGAGTTGAGAGGAAGGTGTTGCAAGATCGCACTTCTGTGAATATTGGTACTGTCCTGAGTAGTTCAGTAGAACTTGATTCATAAAATTACTTAAATGTATAAGGGTGTATCCGACAGCTTGTTACACTGGTCGGTCCTTACTGACCATTTACCTTTCACGTCTCCTGAAGATAAAGAGAAGCTATACTCTGTGAAATAGTTAAAGAGGGAAGGGGAAGCGCAGTGACACTTTGTGCTCCACGAGGACAGTTTAACATCAATATTAGCACATGGCTTTTAAATCAGCTTGTTTGAAGTGAATCTCCGCCCATGGGAAGCTTTTGACTAAACAAGTGTGAAAAATGAATTACTAGAAAGAGTGCCAGATAGATAATCATAGGTAAGGCATCGTTACTGATCCCATATAGTCTGTGCCATGTGGGGTCTCTGCAAGACAAACTCCTATGTCCTTGCTAAAAATTTGTATATCCTACTTTGCTTAGTAATCATACTTATTTTTATCCATTGAGTGTTAGCTCAGCATAGTTTAATTATTAGACTAGATTAGTAGTTAAATTTTGTGGGTTTATATTTGAATTCAAAGGCAATATACTATGATAAAGTCAGATCCAGCTTTATTAGTACAACTAATGTTCAAAGTCAGTTGTGGAAGTTATTGTGGAAGTTTATTATATAATAATAAATTATTATTAAGTCTTGATGATATTCACTAGCTTAATACACTCGGGGGCAACTGAGAAATGTTTGTAGCAGCACAAGGAAACGTTAACTTTTTCAGCCTCCAATGGTGATTGAAGTTATTTCATCTCAGAAAACAACACACTTTTTTCTCTGGCTTTCTTGTTTTTCTAGTCAAGATTAGATATTGCTTTCAGCAATTTGGTGATAACCACAAAGAGCATAATACCACAGACTGTTAACCAAGCTGTTTTATCAGCCAGTATTCTCAGTTATCATCCCTTGCCTTCCCTTTGACAAATATAAATAGTGAAGGGATATAAGTAAATCAGTTTCTGATTTTTGTATGTGGCTAGTTTTCTATGAAGGTTATAAAGGACAGAACAAATTGCAGGAGAACAGAATGTCGTCTTTGTTAGCAAGAACAACCACTTTATGACAGAAAGATTAATCAGTAGCGTTTTTATCTTTTCTTTCTTTAGGTCAAAATGTAATGTCTCATATAATAAAAGACACAACTAATACAGAAAATAGAAACTTCTCTTTCAACTGAGGTTGAAATAAGTTCTTCCATTCCAAATAGTTTTATTGAGACACACATTGAGTACTAGTTGAGGTTGGAGTTGCTCTGGCTGTTATATATGCACTGGCTGCAGCTAATAGTCCACCCTTTACCAACAGCTAAGATATAGCAATGCTTGCCTTAGAACATTTCCAAGTATTTGTGTCAGAATATAATAATAATATTCCAAAAATACAACTGCAGGGCAAACCTTGGTAAATATAATCTATTTTGTTGTACATAAGAGCAAAGATTTATTCTTAAAGATTGGATCAGGCTATCACCATTGTATAATTAAAAGTCAAGCACTTAAATAGACTGGTAAGGCAGTTCTGTATGAACCTTTACTTGCCGTTGTTTTCCTCTCCCAGCACACGCTTACTATCAAGAAAAAGAAATACTTTACTTTTTATGTAAAACAATTTTTCTTAGAAAAGTAGGCTTTTGTAATTAACCCTATTTGCCATCATTTTGATAATAACATTACCTAAGGTTTGCTGGATTACAGAAACTGAGCTACTGTCTCCTATGTGGAATGACTGAAAACCTTTGTCAGGGTCTGGTGAGCACAGCATCCCTGGGCAGACAGTTCCTATTCTTCATCTTCCTCCACAAGCAAGAGGAAGAGAAGTAGACAAACTTGGAGGACACTGGAAAGCTGCAGTTTCCTGATAGTAACAGAATGAACTAGATGAAAATGTAGTATTTCTGTAAAACTAAAAGATCTGGCCTTTTTGAGCATCTTGTAATACTTGTAGGATAAATGGAAGACTTAATTTATTCCTTTCAACTAGGTAGTACATAATCTAGTTCGTCATAAGCAAGCTTAAGTTTTGCTTACTTACTAACTGATCATACTTAAACCTAAAATGAATACTTCTTAGGTCAAATGCATATAATTCTGTAGGAAACTTTAATAGAAAATTAATGTGATTAGTTGATAGTGTGATGAGTAATACTGAAGGAGAACAAGAAAAGTTAATGGACTGAGATAAATATGAGTGAGTCTTGCTTCAAGTTAACTTTTCTCAAAAATTCTAACCACAAATATTGCACGTCTTTTGGATTATACACTCTTTGTTCTTGAGGTGTAATAATAGAAAATGGAGCTCCTCTGGGAGGTGAAGAAGCCTTTGAAGCCTGAGAACACAAAAAGTGTTCAAATTTTCTTTAGTTTTATCATATGATTTCTGCATTATTACTCTTTTTTGTGTACTTTCCTTTTATACTTGGCCATTCACATACTTTTGTTAGTATTTTAATCTCTTTGTGTTATGAAGATTTAAATACATGTGCATACCAACACTCTCTTCCTGAAAATTAAAGCTAGAAGAAATGATAACTAAAGTATTCTCATTACTGTTTTCAGTTATGAGACAAGGTAGATTTATTAAATTAAATATTTAGTAAAATGGAAACTAATCTATTAACTATGTATTTTCATTTTCTCTAGTAGCAGTAACAATAGTGAAGTCTTGCAGAGTTACAACAGATATTACTTCCAACTTCTAGTGGCAAGTTATATGGACCCACAGCCAGAGATACTGACTTTTGTTATTTACTGAAATAGTCATCAAACTATTTTATCAGAGCACTTTGCATTTCCCAGTGAGGTCTAAGTGCAAAAACATTTGATGCTGGCTCTGCACAATGTTTCTCATTTCCATGTTGGCTAACCTAGTTTGCTTGCTTGTGTCATATGCTCTGCAGTTGAAGATACATAATGTATTTTACAGCTGAATGAAAGTAATTTTTTTAAAGTAGTTCATGAACATTTTTTATTAATGCTACATAGATTTTTCAACACAATCCATTTACAAATATGAATTGCAGCTACCACCTTTCACCAAAAATATGTTATTGATTTCCCATCTGTAGGAGAAACACAGCAGTACCAGATTTATTTTTCTTCTACTTCCCTTTAGAATGTTTCTCTATATTATGGTGCAGAAAATTACTGCAATGCTCTAAAACTGCACGACACACTCTGTGCTCCATCTCAATCCAGTAATTCTCTGCTTATGAGAATGACCAGTCATTTTACAACTGTAATTATGGTTTAAGAAGGATTAAACCATGTAAGGTAGTTGTTTAGGTCAGATGACACAGGAAAAATCTAATTCTTTTTACAAATACCACCAAAGAATTTTTGCTCAACCATGGCAATAAATCCAAACTATTTAATAGCTTCTCAAGATAAGGCATTTTCATCTGTACTAGGTATCAACGCGATATAAAAAAAAACCCTCTGATAAGTCTGCAGGGGAAATTTTAATCAAATGAAGTGCTGATGGAATAAACTAATGTTGATATGACAGACAAAATCTAATGTAACTGTGAATGGGCATTCTGTAATGTTGTAGTTAATACCTATGACCTTCTGTGTAGGAGGCATGCTGCACACCGCTAACAGGAGGGCTACAACTGTGTTCAGGGTTTGTCATCTTTCCATCGTGCAACTCCTTTTATCTTGTCAAATCTGCATCTGGCAGGTTGGTGACAGATAGATAAACTACTGAGAAAACAACAACACACCCAACAGAAAAACTAGTGGTGGGACTCCTGGACTTTATCTCAGGATATGTCCCTGCATCCCTCAAGGGTCAGTGTTGGGACTGGCACAGTTTAACATCTTTGTTGGTGACAACATGGACAGCGGGATTGAGGTCACTCTCAGCAAGTTTGCCAACAACACCAAGGTGTGTGGTTTGGGTCAACACACTGGAGGGAGGGGATGCCATCCAGAGGGACCTCGACAGGCTTGAGAGGTGGGCTTATGCAAACCTCATGAAGTTCACCAAGGCCAAGAGCAAGGTCCTGTACCTGGGTCAGGGCAACCCCAATCACAAATACAGCTGGCTAGGGAGTGGATCATGAGCAGCCCTGAGGACAAGGACTTGGGGGTGCTGGTGGTGGACAAGAAGCTCAACATGAGTTGGCAATGCACACTTGCAGCCCAGAAGGCCAACCCTATCCCGGGCTGGTGGACAAGAAGCTCAACATGAGTTGGCAA